CTAATATCCTTTCAACTATGCCCTATGGCCATTGGTGTCTAGTATCAAAGCGCAATAAATAACTTGTCAATTACTATGACGATCTTAGGTCAAAGAAATTCTTAAATCACATTCTTCAAGAGAATATCCTATTAACAGTTTATGGTAATTCTAACCAATAGAAATTATCCAATGAGTCGGTTCAATGATCATACCTCTATATGCATCATCTATCTATGTGATTTAGTTAATGAGATCAACTAATCTTTATCCTATAGAGATAATCACATAAATATTGACTAACCAGATTACTAATGTCCAAATTAATAATCCTACGATCAAGAACAAATTTAGATTAAATTATAAGAAACTTCACTCTCATTATCATGATCTCTATCACAATGTTAAATCTCAAAATTTAATCAAGGACCTTATCAAATTAATCAAGCAATTAATAGCAATGATAAAAGAATTAGGGTTGTGCACGGATCGGATCGGATTTAGCACATTTCGAATTCGGATTTCGGATTTCGAATTCTAGAAAATGCAATCCGAATCTGATCCGAATTATATCTGATCAGATTGGATTTTAAAGTTTGGATCGGATCGAATTGTATTATTATGCCTCAAAGTTGCAAACTAATATATATATTTTATTTGTAAAAGAGGTAATACATTAAGAAAAATACATGTTTATGCAATTATGAGGGTACTATGGGGCCAATATAGCTAAATCCAACAATTGTTAAGGCAATAACTTGGAGGAGGATGTAAAAGAAGTACTGACTATCCAAAATTAAAGTGTAGTATTTATATATGCCCTAATAATTTCAGATTTCGGATCAGAATAAAATATACCAATCCGAAATTTTAATAAACATAATCCGAAATCCGATCCAATCCGTAATTCGAAATTGAATGGATCGGTTTGGATTTTGGATATCCGACCCGAATGAACAGCCCTAAAAAAATATCAATTGCCATATATTTTTATATCAAATGACGTTAAAAAAATATGTTCAAATTATCAAATATGAGATTGGATCTAGTGCATATATACTATATCCATCTCCCACTTGAAGTAGAACCAATCGCTTTTGTACTTCATTTCTCAATTTTTATTTGTGCTTGACAAACTCCTTTGCTTCAAGAGCTTTAGTGAATGGGTCTCCAATATTTTCCTTTCCATCAACCTTTTGAATCTTGACGTCTCCATGTTCAATGATCTCTCTTATCAAGTGATACCTTCACAGAACGTGTTTGGATTTTTAGTGTGATCTTGGTTCTTTTGCTTGAGCAATGGCTCCAGTGTTGTCACACTAAATGGAACTGCACCTTCTATTAGGAACCACACCAAGTCCAGTTAAGAACTTTTTCATCCATGTAGCTTCCTTAACAACTTCACTAGCTGCTATATATTCTGTTTCAGTCACTGAATCAGCTACTGTAGCTTCTTTGGAACTTTTCCAACTCACTGCACCATCACTTAAGGTGAATACATAACCAGAAATAAAATTGCTATCATCTCTATCTGAAGAGAAACTTGCATCAGTATAACCCTCTAAGTTTCAACTCAGAATCTCCATAAATGAGGAATTGGTTTTTAGTCCTTCTTAAATACTTAAGAATGGTCTTCACCACCCTCCAATATTCCTTACCAAGATTTGCCTGATATCGGCTAGTTATTCCAAGTACATAAGCCACATCAGGACGTGTACATGTCATGATATACATGATAGCTCCCACTGCACCAACGTATAGGATCTTACTCAGCGCTCTCTTTCTTCAGGTGTTTTAGGACAATCGTCCCTACTGAGAGTGATTCCAGTGCCTATTGGTAGATAGCCTCTTTTGGAATTATCCATGTTATACCTTTTCAAAATGGTGTCAATGTACAAAGACTGGAAAAGTCCAAGCAACTTCCTTGATATATCTGTATAGATCTTTATTCCTAATATATAAGGTGCTTCTCCCAAGTCTTTTGTTGAGAATTGTTCATATACCTAAATCTTGGTACTTTGCAATGCCGGTATGTCATTCCCTATGAGCAATATATCATCAACATACAGTACTAAGAATATAATTGTGCTCCCGTTAACCTTTTTGTACACACAAGGTTCTTATTCGCATCTAACAAAATTGAACTTTTGAATGTCTTGTTAAAGTGAATATTCCAACTTCGAGAAGCTTAGTTTAGTCCATAAATGAATCTTTGTAGCTTGAAAATTTTATTATGATCAGACGAAGATGTGAAACCTTCAAGTTGTGTCATGTACACATCCTCTTCTAGGTCACCATCTGTTTTCACATCCATTTACCATATTTCATAATTATAGTATACTACTGTAGCAAACAAAATCCGAAAAATTCTAGTCACTTCAACACTTTTCGGCTTCCCTTGAAAAATTCCTTGATTTCTCTCCTGCCAGTACACACTACCAGCCAAAGTCATTCTATAGATCTCAGACGTGGTTTTCCTTCCATTTGCATCTATTAAAGTTATTGTTATCAAGATCCACACGCTAGAATTAGGCACCTTGTTTTCATTTAATTTAGAGCTAATTAATTTCTGTAGATTCGAGGGATGCATTCCTTTTCATCTATGCTTCTAAGCAAACGAATGATATTTGACGCCGCAGCATATCGCATTTCTTGTTCACTTAAGCACCCCCCTCCTCNTCAGTTAGGAGGTTCATACTCTCTTTCTGTTCGTTGCTCCACTTAACTGAAATTAAACTATTTCGATTCCTGAGAGAGGTAAGAACCAAGAACTAGAGAGGAAAACACAAAGCAAAAGGAAGAAAGAATGAAGCGAGCTTCGTCTTTGCCCATATTGTACGTTCTTGTTAATCCTTTCCTTTTTTCCTGACTTCTTTTGCTTTACACTAATTCTATTTCGCTCTCTTCTGCTCCATTCTGTTACTATGGCAGGAAAACTGTTGAAGGAACTCATCACGTAGATGCCAATAACAAAGGGAAAGCAATACTTGAAGATGAACTAGATGACGATGAGATCATTGACTCCGAGAAAATTAGCGAACCTGTCATATGCAAAACAATAGAAAAATGGGAACCCACTTCACGAGGTAGAGTACATTACATTTTCTCCTCCTCTGTTTATCTCTGTCTTTTTTCTTCCTCCCATCTGGTATCAAGAATGTGGTTTTTGGGGTAATATAATCCTGATTCCCACCAGAACTAGGGAATTTGCTGTTTTCTTGACACTTTTCAGTATCCCATCAAATTCAGTAATTGTTTGAAGTTCTTGGTTGCCCAGGTTATAGAGTGTTAATTCTGGTTTAATGTGTCAAGATTCTCATTACTTGAATTTTCCTGAGTAAATTCATCTCATTGGATTATGCATAAAATTGTTCTTAAACTCGTTATACTTCAGATCATATTATTAGAAACTTGAGTCAACGTGTTTTGAGCAGGGGAAGAGTTTTCTTGGGAAAAACAGGGTATATGGAGGCGTGAGCAGAAAAACAGAGCAGCTAAATTAGAGAAACAGCTAAAAGCAAGATGGGCCGTAGACGGGCTAATTGAGGAAGAGCTGAACCGTTTTCGGGCCCAATACAACACAGCTATTGTCCCAACCAAACTCAAGGATGTGGCCCAATTAATCATGCCTAAATGGACTCCTTCACCAGAACTAGCCACATTAACTTGGTTAGGCGATTGGCGGCCCTCCACAATATTGGATCTTCTTCGTCACTTGGCTCACTCATCTGCTTTAGAATCAGTTGCCATTGAGGTGGCGTTACCACAATTGATCAACGAGTTTCGTATTGAAGAGGCAGTGATTGATGAGGAAATGGCTGAAATCCAGGCTAATTGTATCTTCCATTTACCATTTGGCCCAAATAAGGCCCAAAAAGGTGAGAGTCCAATGACTTGCATTCAATCTGAGTTTAAGAAGATCCACAGGGTTATTACTAAGGCCCAAAACCTAAGGCTAAAGGCAATGGAAATGGTGGTGAAGAAAGTGTTAAGCAGAACAGATGCAGCAGAATTCTTGGTTGCATTTGCTGGAATTCAAGACTTAGTTCACCAATGGGCTACGCAACAGAAAATGCGCAGAGGTCCAGTTTCTATACGTACTAAAGCCCTGAAATTTGGTAGCCCACTGAAGCAATAAGACGGCCCATGATCCAACTTAGAGCAGTTCTGACTCAGTAAAATAGGCCCATTTGAGTAAGGAGAATCATATGATGATTGATGCTTTTCCAAATTGCAATTAAGTACTCGGTAGCACTTTTGGGGGTTGTGTACGTTTAGGATTTTCATTGTTTCTTTTGGAATGGTGCCTCAACTTTAGCCTTAGCTTTTTATGGGCAGAAGCTTTTGAGCTGTACTCTTAAAAAATCTTGTATAATTGCGTATATACTTCTAGTATTTCAATTCCTAACACTTGAATGCTTTTGTATACGTATTAATATTTCAATCCTTGGCTTGTCCTTTTTATTGAAAATGAAAAATTTCTTACTAGTATTAGTACCGTGATCTCTAACCTTTATATCCAAATGCATAGTCATAATCTCAACTTTATGGGTTTAAGATTGTATTTCTTTAAGTTATTGAATTAAAATTTATACATATATAATGAATTTCTTAAGACAAAACTATTGAGCGCAGCTGAACCCATATTCACATATTAGCTCCGCCTCTATCAACGTCTCGATGTTTTGCAAGAAAATGTGCTCAATAAGTACATTTTCAACCTATATGAGATGTTTAATATGTTCTCCCCTTAGTTTAAGTGTGAATATTTTGGTCAAGTTTAAAGGCTAATGTTTTTGTTTCTTTAGCATTTAAGACAATTAAATCCTTATATTCCATACAAACATTACTTGCGGCAACATGACGTTGTACTCCCACAACCTCCACCATGAATTTCAGGAAGGGCATTCAAACGCTCTCCTTTTGGCGCGTGTTTGTACTCCTTTTCCCCCACATCAAACTTTCCCATCTCTTTTTTTCCTTCCATTTTTTTATCTTGATGTCGCCGAAGGGACACAAATCCTCATCTCCACTATATATATATATATATATATATAAAAAGAGAAGCACACCACAAAAGGAGACCACGATAATGCAAACCAAAGCCACCAAGCAAAAAGGAGTATCCCTCAAGAAAAGCTTCGAATCTCAAAACCTTACATCACATGCAACTCACAAAACCCTAAACCTAATCTCTTAAATCGGCTATCATATAATCAATCTCTCTCTCAATTACTTCGTACTGGGAAATTAAATTAGATTGAAAGATTGTTGTGAGTCGAACTGTTTTACACGGAGACTAGACAATGTCTGCAATTGTTTGCGGCAAGAGATCTTTCTTTGATGATTTACAATCGCCGTCGCCGACTTCAGCGTCGCCGCCTGTCTCGAAGAAGCTTCGCTGTTCTTCCTCCACTTCTCCGGTTCGATTCTCCGCTTCGCCGCCGCCGTCCACGTTCATGGATCAGCTGAGAGCTTTGTTTCCTAATATGGACAGTCAGGTTCCCCTTTTTATTTTTTAATCTTTAGATTTTGTTAGTATTTGTTCATTTTCAGTTATCAATTCCATATTCATTTTTCTATTTGACGCTTGAACCGCAATCTTAACCTTCATTTCGGATAAATGAGAAATGTTTTGAATCTTCAAAGGCTTATAGTAATTACTTTCGTTATGTTTGCTACAAATAATGGTAAACATTTTAACTACAAACAGTGGTGAAGATGCGATTGAGTATTGACTATGATTATACTAGGTACTGTGACCCAATTGATTATTTATTCTGTTTTGCTGTTTTGTTTTCTGATAGAAGTTCTGATGTTCTGAATCTTTTATATTTACTGTTCAGCTTATTGAGAAAGCTCTTGAAGAGTGTGGCAATGACTTGGATGCAGCTATTAAGAGGCTACATGAGCTTCACCTTGTGTATGCCAATGGGAAATCAGTTACTGATGGAGAGATGGATAATGGTACTTATAAAACAATTTTCCCCTACTTTGATGCTTCAGAGTTTTAGTTCTTGCTCATATTTATTATTCCTTACATTATACATTGCTATCCCATTTCTGACGTTGGAACAAGATATATGTATGAGAATGTTGTTGATTGCTTCGTTAATTTTATGTTGTTGTATGATTGTTGGGGAGAGTACAAATCTATGCGATCAGCAAAAATTATATGGTTGGATCATCCAATATTTGTTGATAAATAATTTTGTCGGATAACATTAATATTTCTAAAATGGTGCTTTGCTGCTGTCTCATATGGATGTTGGATATTGGATATTGGATTTTGTTGTTCTTTATGGTCACTGAGAGGTAACTTCTATGAGAAGCTTCTAGCCTTGTCAAAAACAAATCAATAGATGGAGTCTCAAACCGAAACTAGTTGGGGCTGGCTATATCTGTTCAGCTGTACTCAAGCCTTTTCACTCCAATACATGAGAAAGAATGTAGCAGTAAACAAAAATGAGAAAGTAAGTGTTTTTTAATCCGTCTAACTGCATGTCTATACCTATATATGTTTCTATGGAGTTGTATGAAACTTATTATGCGAGCTCTCAGGTGTTTTAGATAAGTAGCCCTCTGATGTTTATCTATTTGTATAAAACTGCTGTGTTTCTCCACCACTTTTTGGTCCTTATTGATATACCATGCTGTTTCTCTTGAATTATAAACCTTACCAATCAAGTCTCTTTGCAGGAGAAAAACCAGCTAATGGCCCAGATGTCCGATCTGAAGGTCCTTCTCTCCAGAATAATCTTCCAGCTGATGGTGCAGAATGGGTGGAGTTGTTGGTCCGGGAAATGATGAGTGCTACAAGCATAGATGATGCTAGGGCTCGTGCCACAAGAGTGTTGGAGAGCCTAGAGCAATCAATCAGTGCACATGCCGGTGCAGGAGCAGCTCAAAGTGTTCACAAGGTTGATATTGGATTTGTGTGACCATTAGATCTGTAGGTTTGAGCTAGAATAATTTTTTGATGTCATTGTAGGAGAAGAAATTGGACTTCCACATACTTCTCTTTTCTGCTATATTTACTAAGCTTTCAACAAAAAGATATACTGATTATGCCTATGCTGCTTCAATTTAAGGTACTATGTCTTTTGCTTTATTCTTGAGCTGAGGGTCTATTGGAAACGTCCTCCCTATCCTCACAAGGTAGGGGTAAGGTCTGTGTACACACTACCCTCCCCAAACCCCACAGTGTGGGATAATACTGGGTATGTTATTGTTGTTGTTGTTGTTGTATGTCTTTTCCTTTATTGTGGTACTGTAGTGCTTCGTGGGTCTGAGTACAACAGTGCTACTCATGTTTGGTAATTTACCATGTTGTCCTTCTAATTCACTGGCATTTACCTACAATTCTTTATGTTGACCATGTTCAGTGGCGGATGTAGAGTATAGTTACTGGATTCCCGGGAACCCAGTAACTTTTGCATAGACCCTGTATTTTTTCTAAAAAAATTCATTAAATATCAATAAATATATAAGTGTGAACCCAGTTATTATTGTATATTAATCTGACCATGTTACTTCTTTTTCAGGAAAATATGATGTTGAAGGAGCAAATTGAGATGCTTCTTAGAGAAAATACCATTCTCAAACGTGCTGTTTCCATCCAGCATGAACGGCAAAAGGAGTATGATGATAGAAATCAGGAAGTGCAGCAATTGAAGCAGCTGATCGCTCAATATCAGGAACAATTAAAAACGCTTGAGGTAAAAGCTGGAGCTTTAGAGGCTAACTTTTCCTGATGTGGCTCACTTTTTTCATCTGGCCTTTTTAGTTTACTATTGATGTTTTCTGGTGGCGGTCTTATTTTGCATATTGGTTCTCATATTATTTAACAAAAACTTAATTCTCATATTTTTTAGGAGTAGATGGTTAGTACTGCATAGTCTGCATTGTATAGTATACCTCCTCCATCCCCATGTCATGAAACTAGGCATAGGGAGTCTAAGTTAAATTGGATTTTGTGTTACATTAATAGTGGTTCAAAAATTACTCCTATTTAATTTTTGTTGAGAGTGACTCTGATAGAGAGAATATGATCTTTAATTTTGACAATTAAATGGATTCACATTTTTGTTTTGTGAAATTAGTACTACAACAACAAACCTAGTGTAATTCCACAAGTGGTGTCTGGGGAGGGTAGTGTGTACGTAGCCTTACCCCTACCTTGTGAAGGTATAGATGCTGTTTCCGATAGACCTTCGAATTTTGTGAAAGTAGTATTAAATGATATTATTATTAGGTATATAATTGCAAATATTTTTGGCGCATCAAAATTCAAGGAGTGTTATAAACTGGGATAGAGTGAGTATAATATACGTCATATCTAGGCCTTCAGATTAATAATTCTACTTTTGAGAATGCCTGCTATACTTGTTTATGTTGGAAGCAGAAGCGATAATCGAGAAAAGTGCAACATTTTAGTTAATAAGTGAATGAAACTTTGGATATTGTACATCTATATTTTTTGGTGAAACATTGTCATTACTTCAAGCTAGTATCACCTTTATTTTTTGGTAAAACAATTTTCAAAATACTGACATAAAGAGGTTGCTATGATGGTAAGCAACCTCCACTTCCAACCAAAAGGTTGCGAGTTCGAGTCTCCCCAAGAGTAAGGTGGGAAGCTCTTGGAGGTAAGGATGCCGGGGGTCTATTTGGAAACAACCTCTCTATCCCAGGGTAGGGGTAAGGTCTGCGTACACACTACCTTCCCCAGACCCCACTAAGTGGGATTATACTGGTTTGTTGTTGTTGTTGTTGTTGACATAAAGATCTTTGCATTACTGCTATTTTGCAGTGCACATGTATTTTACTTTCGTCCTTGTTTTTAGACTCGGTGTGCTTTAGAAATTTTTTGAACCGCTGCCTAGTCCCTGTCCATATGCAAACATTAATTAAAAATGGGAGAGAGGAACAAAAGTGAGTAAAGTTTTCTTATGTTCCCTCTTTCTGTTCTCTATGGAATAAATGCAAACAAGATTGTCTACTCAGAATTCCTAATTCAATGGTTATCATTGCAGGTGAATAATTATGCTTTGAAAATGCATTTGCGCCAGGCTCAGCAAAGCAACTCTATTCCCGGACGGTTCCATCCAGATATCTTCTAGTGTTGAGACACATTCTGATAAAGATGTGGAACATACAAAGACACAGCCCGTTGGCGTCTTGTCAGCCATGATATAGGATGTATTAAGCAAATTCTATACTACTATTGTTTTTTAGATTGAGAAATGGTTTGCATGTTGAGTTGAGGCCACTTTGGTTGATGATCCTGATTAAGCAGTGTTGGAATGGGCATTATCCAAATGGTGAAGGCCTCAAATGTGCTAGTATAAGTGATATCAGGAAACTGGATATTAAAATGTCTAATTTCGTTTTCTGCTATTCATTTGATATCAGGAAACCAGAGATTAAAATGTCTAGTTATTTCATGTGCAAAATCATCCACTTTATAACCTGTTCTTTTCAATTTGATCGATAATTTTATTCGATGGATGAGTTGCATGACCAATGTGAGATAAAAAATATTACCCTCATTTAGTTCTATGGTGGTAACCATCTACTTTGGCAGGCAGATGAAGCACTAAAGTATACTCTTTTCTGGCAATAACGCACCTGGTATGAGTTCTGGTCGAAAATTACTTTTAGCAATAATTGCTGGATTCGGGAGAAAATTGATGACAGAAAGTCGGTCTGCATCGGGTCCCTTTAGTTGTATCTGATTCTGGTTCAATTAGGTGGAAACTTACATAGGGAGATTATTAAAGTTGGAGTAAATTCACTTGACTCCTTTAATCACATTCAGATTGAAAGAAAAATACCTCTTTTACTTTATCAGCAAATGGTCTATAATCTAAAGTCAACAGAAAAAATGAGAGTATCTCCGATTTTGAAAAGGTCAATAATATCATTCAACATGATACAATTTATGAATTCTTTTTATCCCTCAGCTAACCAAATAATAGAATAGCCAGTCATTTTCACGTTTTCTCAAATATTTATTGTCATAATTATCTGAAAAGCTGCATCTATAATCATTTTGCTAATAAGAAAAAAAACAATTATGAATGTTTAAATAGTAAATTTGAGAGGTTTTTGAATTTAGCGTAGGAGTTGTGTTAAAAAGTACTCCTTCCGGTCCACTTTAATTGATTTTTTTGATCTTTTTCTTGTAGTCCACAATATTTGATTTTTTCAGATATTAAGAAGAAATTAACTTCTTTTTTAACAAAGTTGCTCTTGTAGCCCGGGAGTATTTGTTATATTTTTTAATGAATAAATTAAGGTTAATATAATTATTTTTATTATTAATTAATGCTAAAAGTAATAAATTCTTTAATATGTAAAAATAGTTAAAATGTAACTTGGTGAGAGTTTGTACTGTATTTGACAGTGCAATATAAAACGTGTTGTATAATAGAAACACATATCATATGGGCATCGTCGCAATATCGGACCACATCTTTTGTCTCTCACCTCCTGTCTATAGGATAACCATTCATCTCTTTCCTTAATATATTCTTTTTTTTTTCTATTTTCCCTAATTACTATAGTAACAACGGAATGACCAAAATCAAACGGTTCTCTCTCTTCTTCATCTTCTTGTTTAACTACTCTTCCAGTTCATTCTATTCAACCTCATGAACTCTACGGCAATGGCCAGCACAGCTTCTCTATCTCTCCGCCCTTCTTCTCTCAGCTTCACTACCTCCGACCGCTCCCATTGTCCCTCCCTTCCTCCTTCTTCCTCTTCTATTTTCTTCTCCGGTGGGACCCTTTTGTGGACCCACAAGAAGCTTATATCTGTTTCCTTTTCTTCTTCTTCGTCCTCCCAGTACAGTAAGCAAATTGCGGCACCACGCTTTGGAAGATTGGTGGTGGTTGCTGCCGCTGATTATTACTCCACTCTTGGGGTCCCAAAATCTGCTAGCAGTAAAGATATTAAGGCTGCTTATCGAAGGTTAGCGCGCCAGGTACTGAATTTTTCCAAGATATTGGCATTTAATTTATTTACGTTTTCCCTGTTTATTTTTGCGGTAGCTGCTAAGTGTATCTCTGGTAAAATTGAATTTAAGGTTTAAGAAGTGAACTAGCAGGATATTTACTATTTAGTGGTCTTTCAATGCGAACAAGATGGAAAGTTGAAGATACCTAGGGACATGCCCCGGAATAATTTAACTGAAGTCCATAACGTATGTCTGGAAACAGCCTCTCTGCCCCTCGGGTAGGGGGTAAGGTCTGCGTACATATTACCCTCCCCAGACCCCCACTCGTGGGATGTTACTGGGCCGTTGTTGTTGTTGTCCATAACGTATGTAGATTTTGTTGCAAACATTCTGATATTTGCATTGAACTCGTGAATTAGCAAATTAATTGATTTTTAGTCTTCAATGAACCCTTATTAGATGATAGTTGGCACCTTTAATGCTTACTTTTGATCACAGATGGAGGGAGCTTTGGCACTACACATCATGAAGAATTATGATGTAGTGCCCTTGTATATGGGATTTTGAAATAAGTAACCTTGTTGTGGACCATAAAATATATGCATTTTCCTTGGATATCACAAGTTGCTAATTATAAATTTCCATTTCTATTTCAACTATTTTGTGCTACTCAATCTGATTTTGTATGGTTGGGACTGTCTCTATCGTGAAGAAGCTTAAACGGAAAAGATGCTGATAATGCGTTATGAATCGTTGGTCTGCATATGACATTTTTTTCATTGTATTTTTTGATTCTTTACTTTCCGTGCGCGTCTACATACTCTAGTAGGATGATGTATCTTATGCTCGTCTTACAACTACTGCTACACTTTTGCCCAGTTCTTTGGGCCTTCACAATTAAGATAGTTCCACAGCAACACATTATTCTATTCCCCAATAATCTTTTTCTAAATTTGATGCTGTTTTATAGTATCACCCGGATGTCAACAAGGAACCTAATGCACCAGAAAAGTTTAAGGAGATTAAGGATGCTTATGAGGTAAATATGGAAGTTTTGTACTTTTAACATCTGATCCCAGGCAGTTTTTTTATTTCCTTCTGAAAATATTGATCTTCTGGTATACGTGGCTTTTATACAGATTCTGGTATTGTCATCTCTATATTCCCCCCTCTCCCCTTTGCTTGGTGGAATCACTGTTTATTCACTTATTCAATCTGTTTCTTCATGTATCTACCTTTGAAACGGCAATGGTAGTCTGTCTGCTAAATCCGAAATGACCCATTTTCTCACGTTTTTTGCAATTGGTCTCTTTTTAACTAAGGTGGAAGTGCCATATTTTATCTTTCAAACTATCTAAAGGTTTAGAATCCTGCTGTTAGTATGTTGACATATTTCTCCTTTGCTTTTAAGTTTTAACTTTTTCATGCGACTCTGAAGTTTTAACTTTCCAGGTACTATCAGATGACAAAAAAAGAGCATTATACGATCAATATGGTGAAGCCGGGGTGAAAAGTACTGTAGGGGCCCAAGCAGGGGCTTACACGGTATGCCATAAATTCTCTTTTTTTGTGTTCCAAAAAGATAGTGATAATTTTCTTTTAGTCCTTCCCGAATTAATATTCACTTTCTTTAGAGGGGAAGTTTTAACTCATGTTATCTGAACACAATACGTATGACCAACTTTTACTCTTCTTATGCACCTTATATTCTATTTTGTCAATAACTTTTATGGCCCAAGTGTGTTACTAATAAACAACTCACTTTCAACTTTTTTCTTAGTTCCCCTGCCAATTCCAAGTAGGATTATGGAAATGAGACGGAGAGAGTACCAAAAATTATGGCTTATCGAAAAAAGAAGTACCAAATATCGTGATGATAAATTTTGTCACGTAGTAACTTGGCTCCTTTGATGGGAAATTTTGCCATTTCCTTTGCTCAATATCGTAGTTATTGAAAGGGTCTGGAAGTAGTTATTTCCTTGGTGACATTTAGGTGTGCCATCTATTTTATCAAGCAGTTCTACTATGTTCTTGTACTAAGCTTACGTACACAATATCTGCAAGTTTTGGCAATTACAGGTTGCCAGTGTTTGTCCTTCCCGCAACTATGAGTGCTAATTTCTTGCCTTTTCCTCCTCTCACCCCACTTGAAGAGGAAAATATATTACATTGCGAATTGAGAAGGTTTATAGAGTTCTTTTGGTTTCATTCAATTTTCAAATGGGAAACGAGTGCTGTTCAGTTATGTTGAATGGCATGAGGGTAATATCAGCAAACTTTGCTATTCCTCCTCCCAGCAATTAAGAAGCAGAAAAGGTATTAGTTCAACCAAGATTATGAATTAAAAGGAAGAATAGAATTCTTCCTGCCTATGAAGATTAATATATTATCATTTTGCAAATAGAATGCGAACGGAAGAAGTTGTTTCGCAGTGTTCTGTGTACTTTCTATTTTTTGCATGCTAGCCGATAGATTGGGTTCTGTTTGATTTAGGAATGGGAGTTGGACTTGAGTCTAAGTAAATGTATCAATGTGTACAGGTAGCATGCCCATATGCTATTCTTCTAATCTATTTACTTCTAAAAAAATGGTAAAATGAGTAGGTTGCAGAAGAAAGTGGGAAGGTACATAATAATTGCATGGTTATATGGAAATTGTGTTTAACTCTGATCTGTTTCTTTTTCTTTTTCTTTTTTTGGTGAATTCTACTGCAGGCAAATCCTTTTGATCTATTTGAGACATTCTTTGGACCTTCTATGGGTGGTTTTGGAATGGACGGATCTGGATTTGGAACGCGTCGCCGCAGTACTGCTACCAAGGGTGAAGATCTACGGTGAGTCAGGAGCTGATTGCAATAATTTGATCATCAAATGAAAGCCTATACTAAGTTGTGGTCACGACTATACTTATACAAAAGGTTTTGGTCACGGGTCTACTTCATTAATCATGAGGAGAAAACTGTTTCTGATTACTAATATGCATTCCTACCATAGTATGACAGGTAAACTATAGGAAAAGTATAGCCTCTAACCTATCATATGGCAGTGGTGGAACATAGCTCCATTAAAATGATAATATGTAGTATCAAGCGGAACTTCTTCGAAATCATGGTTACAATTAGACTTGCTAACCATGCGGGCAAAGCTCATTCTGACAACTGATAGCCTCTTGTAGTTATGTAGATGATTGGTAAAACTCAGGAACAGCGAAGTCTCTAACTCCATTTCAAAACAGTGCTGGAGTCTTTATTAGGAATCAGGTGCTATCAGATATCATTTATATTCATGTTACTGATCTTTATAAAAAGTACTTAGAAGATTCACGAATTAGACTTGATAGATTTCTGATATCGCCCTCCTGGGATGAGCTGGTGCCGAATGTGCTGCAGATTCCTTTACCTAGGCTGACTTCGGATCATTTGCCTATCTTGCTAGATGG